TTCCCAACAGCAACAGAGGACAGTAGTTTGGCTTTGGTCTGATTCTAAAATTAGTGTGTGTGTGGAGAAGGATGATATTTTTGAAAAACACATGCTTGAGTTGGAAAAAGAATGCAACGTCTCAAGCTTCCACTGCAACATTTCCTGGAAAGACAGCAACCTCCCTTCCCCGGCCTGGGCCCTGGCCCTGGAAATAAAGAGCTGACTTCTGAGATAAAGCACTGTGTTGAGTTTTTGTTGCCTTCAGGCAGTGTCTCCATTCTGTTCCGGTACGGCTCGCCAACCCTGGGCCCGACTACTACTGTAGTCATGGAGGCCAAGGTGTTGCTGTCCCGAGGATGCTGTCCCCCGAGGGGTGGGCTGCAGATCCTGTTGGCCTTCACCTGGTATGGTTCTGACTCATCTGAGTAGGTCCTTGCATGAAGCCGTGCTGGAGTATCTAGGTGCTCTCTGCAGCCATGGGCAGGCACCTCCCTGCTAGGATTACTGTTGGGTTTGACTGTCAGGTCTGGGTGCCCTGGCCAAATTGCAGGGCCTGTTCTAGAGACCTCCTCACCGAGCTCTCCTGTCAGCCTGGACACACCTTGGAAAGAGGATAATGTGTTCTGGGGGTATTGGTGTGGCGTAGAATGGAAGACCTGACCCTTCCTCATCCATCGGTGATTCCAGAATGTTCATGTGGAAAGAGACCCCAGAGGATATACGGCCAGCCCCTGAGCATCTGAAGATAAAGAGACATGGCCAGAGAAGGCAGCAAGCTGCTCAGGGTCACCAGCCCAAAGGTGCCAGCCTCCCTCAGGTTTCAGTTCCTTTGTCATCTCCCAGCACAGCCTGAGTCTGTGATTCCATGGGTGGACAGGACAAAGTTTTACCTACTAGTTTCTCACCTCGCTAAGACGTTGCCTCAACTTCCTGGTACCCAGTGAAGTGCAAGAACCCAAGGCTGGGGTTGGTGGAGCCTCTGCCCAGTCATCTCATAGCTAAGTCTCAGGACACACCAGTGAGACAGCCTGAGACCAGTGTTGGCATGAGTCAGGGATCTGCTGGGAAGACGGGGCTTTGCTGAATAACACAAAGCCATCTGGAATATAGGCCTAGAGCTGGAGAGCATCTATTGTGTAGGGGGCATCTCACAAATACGCCTAACACCAGCTCAGAACAATCCAATCACCCCACAGCACTGCCGAGACAACAAGGCGCAGAGAGGGAAAGCAACTGGCCCGAAGCCACACAGTCCAGTGATGGTGAAGTCAACATCACAATCTGGGAGGTCTGACTCCAGGGTTCAGGTTGGGCTGTCATTTGGGGGCAGGTCCTTGATGGTGAAATATTGAAGTGATGGGTTCTGACAGGTGTGACACAAGGGGCCACTTCCTGTTCTGTCCCAGATCTCTCATGATGCACAGTTGGTCAACCCCACCCTGCTGCCCTGTGGATGACTCCCTCAGCTAGTTTTCTAGAAGGCCAGCGGCCTCCCTGCCCTCTCTCCTGCACCTCTGTGCTCCAGCACTCACACTACTTGCAGCTCTTCCCCCCTAACGCCCATGGCCGACTTCATCCAGAGCTTGCGGAGTGAAAGCATTTATTCTGAGTTACAGGCCTGGCTTCACTGTCCCTAAGCACCACACCACCCATCTTAGTTAGGGTTTCTACTGCTGCGATCAAACACCATGACCAAAAGCAAGTTGGGGAAGAAAGGGTTTTTCATTCAGCTTACACTTATACATCACAGTCCATCACTGGAGGACGTCAGGACAGGAACTCAAACAGGCAGGAACCTGGAGGCAGGAGCTGATGCAGAGGCCACAGAGGGCTGCTGCTCACTGGCTTGCTCCTTGTGGCTTGCTCAGTCTGCTTCCTTGTAGATCCCAGGCCTACCATGCCAGGGATGGCACCACCCACAATGGTCTGGGCCCTCTCCATCAATCATTTATTTTAAAGAAACATCCTACAGGCTTGCCTGCAGCCCAGTATTATGGAGGCATTTTCTCAATTGAGGTTCCCTCCTCTCTGGTGACTCTAGTCTGTGTCAAGCTGACATAAGACTGGCCAGCAGACCACCCGAGGACATTTTAGTGGGCCTCACAGGCATGCGAAGCCTCATCATGGCCAAGGGTGTGAGATGTCTCAAGGGAAGATGGGTATCTGTGAGCAGAGGGAAGAGTGGGTGTGGGAAGTAGGGAGAGCAACAGCTGCTGCATGCTGGGTCTTCCACACTTACTCCAGGGCCTGGTCCAAAGACCCGCAAGCACACAATGGGGCATTCCTCCTTCTCATGAGAGGCAGGGGTGGGGAAGGAAGGCAAATTCACTTAGGTTTTACATGAGCTGTTCTCTCAGGTAAGTTCCTGTGACTCTGATGAGCCTAACAGGGCAGGTGGGGCGGGGCTGTTAAACAGCCGTCAGACCTGGAGACTGTCTCAAAGAGCTGTACACAGAACTAAGTGGGGAGCAGAGGAGGATGGGATCTCAGAGCTGGCTCAGTTGACCTCCCCATGCCATGGTGACCCCAGGGACACTGAGATCATTCATTTACATTTTGCTTAGTTCTAGAACTAAGAGCTGGCTCCCTCATGGGCTGCCAGGAAAGGGAACTTGGACAAACTCTTTTTTTTTTTTTTTTTGGTTTTTACGAGACAGGCTTTCTCTGTATTGTTTCGGAGGCTATCGGTCCAGCCCGGCCTCGAACTCACAGAGATCCGCCTGCCTCTGCCTCCCGAGTGCTGGGATTAAAGGCATGCGCCACCACCGCCCGGCTGGACAAACTCTTAGACAAATTTCCATCAAAGGTTGTGAGGGGGCAGGGAATCTAGACTTATCAATACTTCCTTCCTCCCTCAGATAAGTGCACTCCCTCATCAGAGACAGGCAGTGAGGTGAGGAGAAGGGCATTCCGCCATCAGGAAGGGCAGAATGGAGTGGCTGAGGTGAGGCGGTGGGCGATGGAACCATTCCTTCCCGCACGTTGCTTTCAGAAGAATCTGACCCACTTGTAAGCATCTGAAGTTCTAGATCAAAGGACTTAGATAGGGCAGATGCACTGATCCTATTCAGATGCAAAGATGCTTCTAGTTCATGCAAACAAGGCACTGGGATCCAGCAACAGACGCTCAGGGTGTTGAGTTTTTCTAGGACATGCTGAAAGTGATAGGAGGGAGCTTTGCCCTGTGGTCTTCTGGGCAAGATGGTGTTGGTTTCCTGTGACTGAAAACTGTCTAGGCAGTATGGGTCACATGGGAATACTTTCTGGCCTGGTTTTTGCCAACCATTCAGCCTACAGGACAGTAACCTTGAGTTTGCTCCAGTATGGCTTCCCATTGGGCGATTGCTCCATCTCTGTAGGCTTGGTCATGCCAGCAAGAGCACATCAGAGTACAAATGCTGCGATTGGCCTCTGGGCCTGGAGGTGGGGTTGTATGGGTCCAACGCTAGGAACAAGACTTCATGCACGGAGGTGCAGGTCAGACTGTGGCTGCAAGTAGTGTCTAGGTTCAGGCCTGTGGAGTTTGGAGCTGACTTCACCTATACCTTCTAGTCATTTAGCTACTTCCTACTCTACCCTTGTCTAACTCGGGGCTCTGGTATGTGACCCTGAGAAGATCCTTCCCTCTTTTCAGGCACCATTTTCTCCTGATGAGCAACAAGAACAGTTGAACAAGACCAGCACTTTCTATACTTTCTTAAGGATCCACTTATCAAATATCTTATAGAGGTCACAATATATAAAGACAAAACCAACACTACCCAAAAGAACCTGAAGGTGGACAAACTACTCTCTTTCTACCTGGCCCAATTCCCAGCCTATAGGGAGATGCCTAAGGCTCTGGCGTTGGTTTTGTTTTTCATTGTTGCTTTTTGAGACAGGGTCTCACTCTTTAGCCCTGGCTGGCCTGGAACTCACTATGTAGCCCAGGCTGGCTTCAAACTCACAGAGATCCACCTAGCTCTGTCATCCAGGTGCTGGTATTAAAGGCACATGCCACCATGTACGGCTCTAAAGAATGTAGTTTGGAGGCCTCTATGCTATGTATCAATGGAAGGTCCCCCAGCTTCACTGCCCTAGGCTTCTGTATGCCTGGAAGCCAGCAGAGCCAAGGCATCCCAGCTCAGAGACTACATGGTTCATCTACCACAGCAGCCCCGGAACCCTGCCTGGTTGGAGGGAGACCTCCGCATCTTCTGAGAGCTTCCCTGGCTCAGACACCCTCCTCTGCACTTGGGATTTCCTCTGCCGGGCCTTCCCCAAAGCCTTGTGTTCTCTCCACTTCTCATTCCATCCTCCCCACCCGGCCTCATGCCTTTGTTTGGGTCCTGGTCCTGAAGACACGAGTGCCTTCCTTTCTGAGTCTCCAGGCAGAGCACCTTGGTACCCTCAGACAGGCAATGGACTCTGGACAGAAAATAAACCCCCAAGTTAGAAGGGAAATGTATGCTGCTCATATCCTAGAATGCTCTGTCTTCTGTCCTAAGGCAGCTGGACCCAAACACAGCAATGGGGCTGGGGTGACAACATGCAGGGTTGGAGCCTGCCTTGCTGATGTTTTAACTTGGTCTTTAGTGAGGATCCCCTCATTTGCATCTGCTGAGTGGAAAAGATGTCCTCTCCATAGCTCTTTGAGCAGTGGGCAAGCAGCTTCTCAATGTTCTGTCTGTGGTCCTGCCCAGCCATCAGGGCTTACTGAGCCCGAGCTGATGGACAGAAAGATTCTCCAGGGAGCCATTTGTTGGGAGAAGGCACTTTATTAAGGGTCCTCTCTCATGGCCCCTCATTTCTTGTCCTGTCAGAATTGCTTTGGGTTTAAGTTATTGATGGTCTCTCCTTCCGGTTCCTCTCTGTATTCATGGCATTCTGAGATTCAGTGTTCTCTGTGGCATCTTGGAGTGTGTAGATGACCTTGAGGTCCTGGCATGGCTCAGAACATGCTGGAAGCTGACATAAGGCTAACGAGTGGCCAGCCCCACAGCCCACAAGGAGGATTCTTGATGGTGACTGAAGAGCCTGTACTGGGGATGGAGTCCAGACGTTGGACTCAGTGCCATCTCCACACATGCCATGTTCGTTCCAGCCCCAGGAACAACACTTGTCACCTGTAGGAGAGAGGACACAAATGTCACTTTAACATCCACTCCATATAGGAAGGAACCAAAGCTTGTGGCCATTAACAGGGTATGTTCAAGGCCCACCTCCCCTCCCCCCCAAGTCTGTGTATCAATCCCACTCTTCCTCTCCATAGATGTTCATGCTCCAATCCTGGCTTTCCACCGTGGAGGTCGCATGTGACCAGTTACCGGGCCCTGCTGACTCCACCACCAAGAACTCCAGTCCCTCCTATGTCCCTCTACCTCTGCTGCTACCACTCTGGCTCAGGCCACCAGCTTCTCATTTGGGCTACGCCTGCTTCCCACACAGTCTCATGTTATACACCTATGATCCCAGCTCTTGAGAAGCTGAGGCTATACAGAGAGACATTGTTTCTACCTCCCTGCCTAAGGAAACTACTTGATGAAAGCAGAAGCAGGCACTCACAGCTAAAGCACTGAGCCACACTCCTGGAATCCAGTTGCAGAGAGGGAGGAGGGATGAGCAAAGGAGTCAAGACCGTGCTGGAGAAACCCACAGAACAAGCTGACCTGACCTAGTGAGAGCACACAGACCCTAGTCATAAAGTTGGAGAACCAGCATTGCACTGAACCAAGCCCTCTGAATGTGGGTACCAGTTAGGAGGCCAGGGCAGTCTATGGGATCTTTAACAGTGGAGCCAGTGTTTATCCCTAGTGCACAAATGGAGTTAGGGAGTCCATTCCCTATGGAGGGAGACTGTTTCAACCCAGATACACGGAGGAGGGCCTAGGCCCTCCCCCCAAATGATGTGACAGACTTTGATGATCCCCCATGGAAGGCCTCACTGTCCCTGGGGAGTGGGTGAGAGGTGGGTTGTGGGGATTGGTAGGGGGCATTGGAGGGAGAAGGAATGGGGGGGGCTGAAATGTAAAATGATTGTTTCTAAAAAAAAAAACTACTTGAAAAATTGAAACATTTAATATGCTGGAAAAAAACGTACAACATCCTAACCTAAGTTCAGAACAGTAGTTACCATTTTCCCATATGCACTTCAATCGTTTCCTTAAAAACAAACAAACAAACAAACAAACACCCCCAGAACCATTTAAGCCTAACCTCCCTCTGGGCTCTCCACACTGCAACAGCACCACTGTTTTGAAGCATGTGTCCATACTTTCACGCACATATATTTATAAGTACATGTATGTCCTTAAACACTATGTACTCATTTGTTTTAAAGACTTATGGAAGCATATCGCTGGTACATACCCTTTATCCAACCTAGTCTTTACACTTGACACCTCACACATTTATATGAGCCAATGCTTCATCAACCAAGCTCCTTAATAGCCTCTCGTTATATAAAGTCATATTTCACTCAGCAATGACCTTGGGACAGCCAGTTCTTAATGGTCATCATTGTTGCCACTGAGCTGTATACACCAAGGCGTGATGTATTATGATATTATACATCACCAATATGGCTGCTGTTACAACCGGACAACTGTGAACATCTTTGAACATGTTTCCTGGTAGAAAATGATGTTCATGCAGGGTGATCCTCAGAAACACATACAAGTCATGGTGGGGGTTCATGTTTAATTTTGCCAAGCATAGGCCAGAGTTCATCAACATGACTGCAGGTGCACGCCTCTCGCTCATGGCCATGGATGCGTTCCTCTGCTTTCTCCCTGTAGACTACCGCCACTCTGGTGAGCACATCCACCTAGCTTGCACTCCTGCTAACACAGTGAGCTCTGCCTTTTGAGTCAGAGCCAAGTCACATGCTTATGTTCTCGGTCTGCTTGTTCTTTGCCTCCTGTTGACGTCTTTGCGCATTTTCCCCTGGTTCTACACACTGCAAGTGGCTTCTCCCAGAAGTCTGGGGTGTCACCCCATTTTGTTCATGGAGCCTTTTGCTAAGCAATTTATTTATAGTGCCTGCCTAATTGCACATTATGAAGATTAAACAATTTGCTTACCCCACTGGCCATTAGCAGACACTCAGGTTGTTTTTAATTTCCCATTTTCCTACAGCATTGCATGAACACCTCAACGTGAATCTCTGTCACTCCCTCTAGTTGCCTTTTCAAATTAGATTTGTAGGCTGGGGATTCCCAGGCAGTGGGTACCTCCATCTTGGAGACTCCTGAGGACCTGGATGTAGCTTTGGTGATCCGTGGGCGTCTCTGCCTCCTCCCATATCACTAGTATTTGTTAGCATCTTTTTCGATTTGAATACAAAACGGCATCTCACTGTTACATAAATCCTATGCTTCCTGGAGTCTTTTCTTTCCTCTTTTGTGTACTGTCTCCTACAATCCTCCTCTCCACCCAGTTAATACAAAAATGCTTAAGTGTTCAAATCCAAAGGCTAGGGGACCTGTCATTTTTTTCAGTTTGATATAAAATCTTGTTTTAGATCTTTCAACAAACATATATTTATATTTCATTTACTGATTTGGGGGTTCATCTGGGGGAGGGGCAGGGTCTCATGAAACTTAGGCTAGCCTCTAACTTACTATATAGCCAAGGCTAATCTTGAAGCTCCAGCCTCCTGGCTCCACTTCCCAAGTGCTGGGAGTGTAGTGATGGGAGAAGTCCTTTTGTGTATATGTTTGATCGGTGTAAATAAAGCACTGTTGGCCAACAGGGAAGCAAGATAGGTGGGACTAGAAATCCAGGAGGATTCTGGGAAATGCAGTAGGGGAGTGGTCGACACATGATCTCCTGAGAGGAATGGACACATCATGAGTGTGTCCTTGTAAAGATAAGCCCTTATAAAATATGTATTAGGAATTATGGGTCAATAATTAAGTCAGAGCTAGCTGATAAGAATCCAAGCAAATGGCCAACAGCTTCATAATTAATATAGTGTCTTCTGTGTTACTTGGGGACTAAAGTGGCGATGGGACCCAGGTGGGAATCCCACAACAGGACAGGTGTAATTACATGGAGCTGACTTAGGGCCCTTTATAAGGTTCAATTCTTTTCAGCAGCGTGTACGAACTGAAAGCCCACCTTCATCAGAAAATACTCCTGGCTTCCCCACAATCTGAATGTCTACATCTTTACAATTATGTGATTATACATCACAAGTTTGTCTTACAGACCACTGTTTCCAGAGAAGAAGGCCAGCCGGTCTAGGGGATTGCCCTTAGGCCTCCTCTTCCTTGGGAGGAGGCAGTTCTGGTCAGGGCTCAGGTCTAGGGAATATGTCTTCTGGTTGGCTAGCAAGACGAGGAAACACATCAGAGAGTGCTTCCCTGTCCTCCCTTTGGTTGGGCAGAGCTTCACAAGGCTGAGCATGAGCAGGAGGGGGATGGAGGCAGGAGGAAAGGATGAAGGAAAAAGCAGGATGGAAGAGCCCAGAACCTCAGGGCTCAGTTTGGCACCTTGTATGGGCCAAGTGCCTGGTCCTGGTGAGAAGTGCAGCTGACTGTCAGCAGGGGTGGGGTGGGAAGCAGGGGTGGGGGTAGGAGGAAGACGGAGCTGACCTCACCACAGGACACAGCACAATGGGCAGCTGCCATGCTCTTCTCCTGCCAAAGGGAACTTGCTCCGAGAAAGCCACACTCAGGGCTGGGTAAATGAGGCCTGGAGCCAGGATTTTCGTGCCTGCTTGGTGCAGACCTGGCAAAAGCCCAGACATCTCTTCCCTGATACTCTGAGGAGAGTATGTGTTTTGGGTCATGTGCTTTATCTGCTCAGGTTGTAACAGCCCAGTGAGGTGGCCACATTTCATGGGTGGTGTTCATCTTCAAGGAGAGAAGGCTGAGCATCTAGAACGTGGAGCGGGCTCCCAACACTGTGCTAAACTCCACATTTTATGTACTAGGCTTCACCGAGCTTATTCTTACCCACGTTCTTTAGTGCGCTGTCTCACATCCTCTTTCTCCCTGTGTGGTGCTGTATGAGTGTGTGCACATGCATATGGGAATACGCATTGCGTATGGAGGCCAGAGACCATCGTTGGGTGTCTTTCCTTCATTTCTGTCTACCTTAGTTTTTGAGACAGAGAGTCTCCCACTGAAGCTTATTGACTGGCTAGAGGGGTTGGATAGTAAGCCCAGGGACCTTCTTGTCATTTCCTAGTGCTAGGGCCACAGATATGGCTACCACGCCTGTTTTTCCCCAGGGGTACTTGTGCAGTGAGTTCTGTGCCCACCGTGCCATCCCTGCAGCCCCACCCATTCTCTTTTCCATAACCCTTTGAAGGTCATTTGAGAATGGCTTTCGGGACTGAAGAGATGGCGCCACAGTTAAGAGCACTTGTTGCCCTTGCAGGACCTGGGTTCAGGTCCCAGCACGCACACGGTGGTTCACAGCCATCTGTGACTCCAGTTCCAGGGGATCTGATCTGGCACTGTCTTCTGATCTCTGTGAACACCAGACATGCACGTGACACACATACATACATACATGTATGCAAACACATACAAATAAAATACATCTAAATTTGTATTTTAAAAAACTGATTATGTCATCATATAAAAGTAGGCCACAGGTCAGACTCAGTTGTAGTCTGCCAACTGCTGCTCACCCGATACACAGGATACTATTTAATATGGATCATGCTAGGCTCTCCTGGGTTCTCCCAGCACACCTAGGTCCTCACATGTCAGAAGTTCTGAGCCCTCTATATGTCTCCCAGCACATGTCTCACTTGGTGCTGAGTTTGATCAAGTTCAAGACCCAGATGCAGGTATAATATAGGGCGATGCCTCCCTCCACTGCCTCTAAGGACCGACCCTGATACGTCACCACTGCCCAAAGTATGGAGTCTTCCACTAGGGTTCACATACTTTACAGTAGCGGTGTCTGTGAAGCTGAGGAAGCCTGGGAGAAAGGTGATGATGAGCTCTGTTTGGGGCCGTCTAAAATAGAGGTGCCAAGGGCATGGAGGTGCACATCTTTAATCTCAGCCCTAGGGAGGCAGAAGCAGGTGGATATCTGTAAGTTTGAGGCAAGCTTGGTATACATAGTAAGTTCCAAGACAGCCAGGGCTGTAGCCCTGTATGTATAG